AAATAAATCTTATATCTGCCCCTTATTTAAAAAACAACTTCAAACAAACAAATTAAACTTGAACAATTTCTAAACCTGAGAAAAAGCTAAATATCTCAAAAAGTATAAATTTCTGTAATATAAAAATTCATAGCCAGAGGGTCCTGAAGGAGCTGAAAATGTTGAAACAGGACAAAAGCTGTAGAATGAGATGTGCTGAAGAAAACAGGATCATCTCATTGATGCTTCATATAAAGATCCATCTGARTCCTGGTGGGTCGGGAAGGACCTGCAGTCAGTCTGTGGTTGGGGGGTTTCAGGTGCGGCAGCAGATGGAGGAGCAGATGGCTCAAAAGTCCAGTGAGCTGGAGCAGTACCTGCAGAGGGTCCGAGAGCTGGAGGAGATGTACCACCAGCTGGAGGAGGCCTTGGAGGACGAGAGGCAGACCAAGCAGGACGAGGAGGCCGTGCAGAAACTGCAGGCCAGGTGTGTGTGTCCCGATCAGAACCAGAGCTGCTGCTTTTCTCTTTCAGCTCTTTGAAGAAGCTAACACCGTAATTACCTCGTAGTTTCCTTTCTGTTTGACGTGTTAATGTGTGAAAATGCGCTGTGAGTGAAACCAGGTGAATCTTAACTGCAATAAGAACCAAAAAATATAGTTTTAAATCAGCTCCACGGGTCAGAGAGTAAAAACATTTTCACATGAAGACGTRTGTGTGCAGAGAGGTGCAGCTCAGTGACATCATGAGGAAATGGAATTGAATTAAAGGGGCAATGTCATGTAAAATCAACTTTTTTGAGTTTTATATCATGTTATAATGTTATCCTCTCATCAAAAACATGCCRAGAGTCTMGATTTATTCATGCATGTTAGAGAAATCCTGTGCTGTCCTGAGGCAGCCAGGCAGGGGAGCAGAAACGACTGGTTGGGACTAGAACCGCCTTTTGGGARCAGCTCCTCCTCTCATGTGTCTCTAAGCTGAGCTTCCTCAACACAGAGCACACACCCACCCTGTGCTGAAATGGGCGGGACAGAAGTAGAAGGAGGTTCTTAAAGAGACAGAGGACAATTTCAAGGTGTTTAAAGACAGAAATGATGAGAAGTGAAGTTTATTTTCTATTTAAAGATAAAAACAGCATTTTAATAACAACTGAAGGTGACATAGATACTTTATTATGG